GTGTGTGTGTGTGTGTGTGTGTGTACACCCAGCACCCTAATTCTATAGTTAACAACACAGGAGCAGGGCAGCTCTTGAGCATAAAGAAACCAGAATTTCTGGCAGCCAGGCACCATCAATCTTGCTGGTGCAGGTTATTCTGGATTTCTCCCTCCATAGTAATGACAGTAAGGGCATATTTTTGAGGAGTACGTCACCAACCTTGAGCCAAAAGCTGAGTTGGTGGGAGTGAAGAGACAATTATCCAGAGGATTTTATCCTGGTAGACCAACCCATGCCAGTCTATATCTGACCGCTAGCAAACAAGCCAAAGCCCTGAGACTGAAAACTTCCTTGAGCAGAGTCAGTTATTTAGGAGCTTCCCTTCTGTACTCCCTGGCAGTCCACCAATAAGAGAGCTGGTGCTAATGACACTCACTGCAATCAGTAGATCAATATAAGAAAACTTCAATAAAGACACAGAAATTATACGACAAAAAAAAATTAAAAGTCCAGAGACTATAGAACTTAAGGTAACTGAATTTTTTTTTAAAAAATGACAGAAGTAAAAAAATGCAATCAGGAGCTGGAGAGTTAGTACAGAGAGTAAGGTTCCATCTTTCAAGCATCTCACCCTGGTTCCATCTGCATATGGCCCCTTGAATCCTGCCAGGAGTAAGGCCTGAGCACTGCCAGGTGTGGCCCCAAAACCGAAACCAAAATGGAATCAGTGACCTCAAAGATACAGTGGAAAAAATACGCCCCCACCCCCACAATACATACATCAGAAAATAGAATTTAAAATAATGAACATAAGAGCTACATGGAACAGCACAAAAGGAGAAATGTTTACATAATAGGGGTTCCAGAGAAGGAGAAGTGAGAAAAGGGGGGGGGGCAGAAATTTTATTTGAAGAAATAATAGCTGAGAACTTCCTCAAACTAAGAAAAGTTAGACAGATATAGGAACTAGAGTTTCGAACTAAATGAACTTGAACAGGGTAAGAGAGGTAGTACAGTGGGTAGGGTGCTTGTCTTGCAAATGCCAACTCAGGCTTCATCCCTGGTATCACATATGGTTCCCCAAGCTCCGGGAGTGATCCCTGAGCACAGAACCAGGAAGAAGTCCGAAGCACCGCAAGGTCAGGTGCAACTCCCCCCACCCCAACAAAAACAAACAAATCACAAATCAACAGACACTAAGACACAATAATTAAAATGGCAAAAATAAAAGAAATAAAGAATCCTAAAATCAGCAAGGAGCAAAGACTTTATGGAAGTTAACCATTTACATCCTGCTCCCCAGCCCTCGTAAGATTATCAGCAGATTCTCATTACACATTCTCTTGTCCAAAAGGGAGTGAGTGGGCATGATGGACACTGAATAGAAGTGCTCAGTGGAGGGTATCTACAGCCAAGAATGATTAACAGAACTAGGAGCGGAGGGCGTGGGAGGGGGAGGGGAAGGGACTTAGGGGTAATCGTGGGAGCATCTTGAAATCCTAGTGGAGGAGGATTGATGTAGTAGCACTGCAACTATCAAACAAGAACTTTAATGCTAATGTAATCTATGATCCCTTGATAAAAAAAACCCCAAACACTTAGCTATATTATCGCTTAGGTTTAAAGGAGGAATAAAAAGCATTTCAGAAAAGAGATAGTCATTATTTTAGCACTGTAGCACTGTCCTCCCGTTGTTCATCGATTTGCTCGAGTGGGCACCAGTAACAAGAAATTGTGAGACTTGCTGATGCTGTTTTTGGCATATCAAATAACATCACGGGGAGCTTGCCAGGCTTTGCTGTGTGGGCAAGATACTCTTGGTAGCTTGCCTGGCTCTCCGAGAGGGGCGGAGGAATCGAATCCGGGTTGGCCATGTGCAAGGCAAACGTCTTACCCACTGTGCTATCGCTCCCGCCATATTTGGAAATAAAAATCAAAATATGTAGGAGATAAGCAGAAATACCAAATACAATAGAATAAGGTCTATTTTAAAGCTTACTGATCTGTTTTAGTTTTGCCTTGCAATGCTCTGGGTTTATTCCCCATGACAGTGCCAGGCATGGGACCTGGCCCCTGTGCACAGGGGCATGCCCTCCAACAATCTGAGCAATCTTTCACCCACTGAAGTTTACTTACTTGGGGTGTGGGGGCGGTCTCCTCCACGGTTCTCCTCCTCCTGATTTCAGCCAACCTGACTGCTTATTGAATTTGAGGGTCTGAGGACCTGGAACTACCTGGATCTGTGGTGCTCTGTACTTCCTGCACTTATCCTGGTGCTGCTTGGGGCCTCCAGAGCTCTATCTGGCAATGCTAAGGGGACTGTGTGGTGCTGGGGACCAAACCAGGGTCAGCTGCATACAATGCATGTTCCTTCTCCATGGTCCCTTTCTCCATGGTCCCTAGTTCTTAATTTGATTGTTAAATTTAGAAAATTTTAAAATTCAGATATTGCCTTTATTCAGTTATAAATTTATATATTTCTTAAAAACAAAACCACATTGCAGGCCAGATAGTACAGGAGATAAAGCATTTGACTTGCAGATAACTGACTGTGGACTGGAGCAATAGCACAGCGGGTAGGGTGTTTGCCTTGCACGCAGCTGACACGGCTGACCAAGTTCGATTCCTCCGCCCCCTCGGAGAGCCTGGCAAGCTACCGAGAGTATCTCGCCCGCACGGCAGAGCCTGGCAAGCTACCCATGAAGTATTCAATATGCCAAACACAGTAACAAGTCTCACAATGTTACTGGGCCCGCTCGAGCAAAATCGAAGAACAACGGGAGGACAGTGACAGTGATAACAGACTGTAGTTTGATCCCTGGCACTGCCTAGGGTCCCTCAGCACTGTCAGGAGTGACCCCTGAGAACAGAACCAAGAGAGTTCCTTATTCCACTGTGACCCTATATATAATCACTATAATGACGTACAAAACACCATATTATTTATGTTGACATTTAGTATATGTACACATATTGGCATATTTTCTATTTCATTGTTTCAAGTAGTTATAATTTTGTGATATTATTTTGTTCAATCCTACATTTCACTCAGTGGGTTGGCCTATACCAATTTTTTAATTATTTTTTATGGATATGGGTCATGCTGTCCTGATTGTTTGGTTGAATAAATTTGGATTTTATTTCAGATATATATCTTAAGTGGGTTTCCAGATTCTACTTTATTTCTATTGAAAAGCTTCTTTTTACTTTAATTATCTGAATTTAACTCAGTTGGATTCACAATACAAAGCCTGTCAGGATAAGTTCAAATTTCTCCCCAGTTCTTCCCATTCTCATTGGATACTTTCTTCTGACCTGTACATGTGTAATTTTAGGGTGAGTCAGACATGCAGGCACCTTTTATGCACAAAATATGAATTCAGAAATAGTATAGCAGGTAAAGGCGCTTGCCTTGTGTGTGGCCAAACCCAGGTTTGATCCCCTGCACCCCATATAATGTGGGCCCTGCCAAGAGTTGCCCCTGGCACAAAGCCAAGAATAAGCCCTGAGTACTGCCAGTGTGGCTCCAAAATCAAACAGAAAACACCAAAATATGTTACAATTTTCCTTTCCTTATGTGAGGGGGGTGGGGAGCGGGGGGGGGGGGGGTTGGGCCACACCAGCAGTGCTCAGGGCTTACTCCTGGCTTTGCACTTAGGGATCACTCCTGGCAGAGCTTGGGAGACCATGTGGGATGCTGGAGACCGAACCTGGGTCATCTGCTTACAAGGAAAGCACCCTACCGGCTGGGCTGTATCTTCAGCCCAGTGTTAAACTTTCCCACCACTTTTACTTCCCAGCTCTCTAGTATCTGAAGTACATTTTCAATTGCTCTAGTTATTTTGAACTCTCATGATTTTTGAAGGTCAGGAATCTGTCCTCTTCAATTGGAGTTTCAGCCGCTCTGTACTGTGTCCTATCTTCAGGTCAGAAATCACAAAAAGAGGGTACATATGCTGCCTGAGCCCTTGTGTTGCTTGCGCCCATGTGGCCGAGCACATGTGGGCTGAGCACATGTGTTGCCCGCATCTCCCCTCTTGAGATATGTACTTTCATGCTTTCGTGTCTAATGCTAGGATGTGTGTAGGGGCTCTCTCCGCCCTTGGAGAAGCCCGTGTTCTCTCTTGACTATGTTACTCTCTCATTCTCTTCCTCTCCAAAACCCCCAAATAAAATCTATTTACTACCAAAAAAAAAAAAAAAAAAAAGAAATCACAAAAAGGACCCACCCCCAACCTCTCTTAACCTTTTCTCTTCTAAAATGACATCATTAAAAATTGCCATATGAGGCTGGAGTGATAGCACAGTGGGTGAGGCATTTGCCTTGCATGTGGCCAACCCGGGTTCGATTCCTGGCATCCCATATGGTCCCCTGAGCACCTCCAGGGGTGGTTCCTGAGTGCAGAGCCAGATGTGTAACTCCTGTGCATTGCCGGATGTGACCCAAAAAGCAAAAAAAAAAAAAAAATTGCCATGAGTTTTTAATGCATACAATGACTTTAGCTCATTGTAGCTAATTCTGCTTTTGTTCCTATTTTATACAAAAATTTCTAAATACAAAAAAACTATTCTGCAAGAATGCTACTGAAATATGAACTTATATTGCCAGGGAAGTGACACTCTCAGTTGAAACAAAATCCATTATAGTAATGTGTAAGAACTGTCAGAATGTGAATCCTAATTCCCTCCCGTATCATATCTTTTGCCTTTTACAACTGTACAGAACTCATCAGCTATACTTACCTTCTATCAAAATTCCAAACTTGTAATCTTTTAGCATTATCTGATTGATATTATTTGAAATTAATCTAATTAAATATCTATGGTTATAATTTTATATTTTCTTATTCATACAACACATACTATTTGAATAGACAATCTGTCTGATATCCATGAAAGTTGCTTCACTTACCTGGTTGCTCATTTTCATTAAATTGTTAGTTTATAGTGCAAAAATAGTAAAAATAAACTAAAATCAGGACTGATCTATATTCTGTATAAAAGAAACTTTCATCAGAATCCTTTTACAGTTCATTAGCATCATGATTGGGTGTTCACGTTTGTATGACATGTGCTTCCCTTAAATCATGTTACATACTTGGCACATTACCCATCTGACATGGGAAAAAAAGAGAAAATTTTATCAGATCTAACAATGAAACTTAACTCGTGGGGTGGCGGTGGAGAGATGGTATAGCAGGTAAGGCACTTGCCTCACCCAAGACTAACCAGGGCTCGAAGCTTGACAATACACATGATCCCCTGAGTGTCGTCAGAGTGATTCCTAAGCACAGAACCAGAAACAATTCCTGAGTGCTGCCACATGTGATCCAAAATGAAAAAACAAACAAAAAACCCAGAAAACACCAACTCATGGTGAAAGGCTGGAGTAAGGGATTTCAAGTCATCAATCAGAAATGCAGGAGCAGCTATATTCATATCTGATAAGCTTAGCTTTTAACTACACAAGATAAAACAAAGATGTATACTATATAATGGTCAAGTTCTATCAAGAAGATATCAATATCTCTGCAGCCAACACATGTTGCACTAAATATCACTTACTAACAAGTAATCTTACATAAGGAATATCTAAAAGATATTGACAAAAACAAAAATAGTAGATCTCAACACAATACTTACATTGATGAATAGATTATCTTTTCTAGACAACAAGGGAACAAAGCTTTAATAAAATCAAGTAACTGACCAGACAGACTTAACAGACTTTTAGAGAAACTGTGATCTTAAAAGAAATGAATACACATATTTTCATGTGCACGTGAAACATGCTCAAGGACAGATCACATGTTGGGATGCAAAAAAAAAACCTTCAATAAATTATAAGGAGAAACTGGATAAATATAAGGAGAAACAATTCTTTTTTCTGGAGGGCCAGAGAGAAAATCAATGGGCTGGAGTGCATGCTTTGATTGCAGGAGACCCTGATTTGATTCACGTCATTGCATGGTCCCCCAAGCATTGCCAGGAGCAATTCATGAGCACAGAGCTAGGAGTAGCTCCTAGGAAATACCTTCTGATGCTGCCCAAGAAAAATAAAACAAAAATTTATCTGGAGAACAATGAAAATGAAGAGATGAATTACAGCCATTTAGCAAAGGCCCTCCCGTTGATCATCGATTTGCTTGAGCGGGCCCAGTAACGTCTCCATTGGAGACTTTGTTGTTACTGTGTCTGGCATATCGAATTTGGCAAAACTGTTATAAAGAGGAAAGTTCATGATCAAAAAAATAAATAAATAAACCTTTTAATGGGAAAAAAATTTTAAATAGCTTACCTTAAAATCTGAAGGAATCAGAAAGAAAACAAAGAGGGTTGGAGGATAGAACAGCAGATAAGGTACTGCCTTGTATCAAGCCTTGTATCTCATCTCTGGTTAGATCCTTGATACCAAAGATGGTCTCCTGAGCCCCTCTAGGAGAGATCCTGAGCACAGAGCCAGGAGTAATTCCTAAACACAGTCAGGTGTGGTCCAGAACCATGCTCCCCACCCCTGCCAATAAAGTATCTGTGTAAGAAAAGGAAACAATTAGGGGCTGGAGTGATAGTACAGCAGGTAGGGCGTTTGCCTTGCACGCGGCCTGATCCGGGTTCGATTCCCAGCATCCCCTATGGTCCCCCGAGCACCCCCAGGAGTAATTCCTGAGTGCATGAACCAGGAGTAACCTCTGTGCATCGCTGGGTGTGACCGAAAAAGCAGAAAAAAAGAAAGAAAACAATTTTAAAAAATATATATAAATGAAGTAGAAATGAGAAAATCTACAAAGATCAAAAAAATCTAGAGTTGAGTTGAAAGAATAATAATAATGATAAACTAGGTACATTTTAAACAGGTCTGAGAAAAAATACTACTTAAGAATCATAACTGAGTGAGGTGAAATTATATTCCATGGAAATGTAAATGAGATTGTTATAAATACTTATTCTGCAAATACATAGATTTACTTAAAATATGCAATCTAGAAGAAACGGACTCAGTTTTGGAATCATACAGCCTTTTGAAACTAAACCAGATAGCTTGAACAGACTGACCACAAGTATAGAAATTAAAACAGAAATCAAATTTTTCCCTAAGGAAACTCTTCATCTAGCTCCAGATGTTTTCATTAGTGAATTCTGTCAAACTTTCACAAAGAATATCATGCAAAAAAACTTCTTAAACTCTTCCAAATTTGTAAAGAGTGAATGCCCTCAAATTTTATGACCAAAAATTATTATGACCAAAACTATGCAAACACACACACAAACACACACACACACACACACACACAAAACCTAGAGTGATATAACTGATAAACAAAGATGCCAAAAATCGTCAACAAAATTTTGATGAATTAGATACAGTAATACATCAAAAGAATTATACCTCATGACCAAGTGGAATTTCAAGGATACAAAGATTGTTCAGAATATAGTCAATTAATATACTACACCACAGCAATAAATATAACATGATCATATCAGCCTATATTAAAAAGCATTTAAAATCCATGTCTGATACATTTTGATAAATTTGTAATAAATGTCTCTATGATAAAAGACATCGACAAATCTGTAATTACTACATAATGAAATAGAAGACAAAAAGAAATGAAGGACTGGAGTGACAGCACAGCGGGTAGGGCCTTTGCCTTGCAGGCTGCTGACCTGGGTTCGCTTCCCAGTATCCCATATGGTCCCCTGAGCACCACCAGGAGTGATTCCTGAATGCAGAGCCAGGAGTAACCCTTGGGCACCGGCAGGTATGACCCCCCCCCAAAAAAAGAAATTAAAAAGTATCCACATTCTTGTATTAGAAGAGTTAATATTGTTAAAATGTTAATGTTACTTAAAGCTAACGAAAGATCCAAAACAATTCCTATAAAAATCCCAATGGCGTCTTTCAAGAAAATAAAGCAAACAATTATAAAATTTTGCAGAAACACCTGGGAATTCAAAAATCAAAAGAATTATGAGAAAAAAGAAAAATGAACACCTTACTCTCCCTAATAAAAGTATGCTTCAGGGCTAGGGAGATATTACAGGGGGTAAGGAATTTACCTTGCATGTAAATTGCCCCAAGATTGATCCCAAGGACCATATAAGGTCCCCTAAACGCTTCCAGGAGTGATCCCTGAGCGCAGATCAAGGAGTTGAGCACCACCTAGTGTAGCCCAATCAATCAAAATCAACCAAATAAAAAAGTATATTACAAAGCAGTAATAAATATAGAACTTGAGCACAAATTGATGCACAAACCAATGGAATAGTTAAAAAACACCCAGAAATAAAACCATATAGATGTGAACACATAATTTATGACCAAAGAGCCAACAGCATTAAATGGAGAAAGGAGAGCCTTTTAAAAATGGCGTTGACAGTTTGTAGGGCTCTTGTCTTGCACATGGCTGATTTGGGCTCATTCCCTGCATCTGATATTGTTCCCCAAGCCTGCCAGGGGTAATTTCTGAGTGCAGAGTAACCTCTGAGCACTGCTGGGTATAGCCCCCAAACAAAACAAAAAAATAAGAGTGTGTTGATCATTATTTATTGTTGCACTCTAAGATATGGGATCATCCAGGTATCCAATGACAGCAGCACCGCACGGATTATGAAGATGTGGTATATACACACAACGGAATACTATGCAGCTACAAGGAATAATGAAATGATGTAATTTGCTGCAGCACTGCGGTTGAAACTGGAAGATATGTTGAATAAAGTAAGCCAGAAGAAGACAAATGCAGGGTGATCCCACTTATCTGTAGCATATAGAATACTGGAAGAGGTATTGTAGTAAAGGGAGATGCCATGATGACCGTTTATCCCAGTGTTTAGAGAGAAGGACAGAGGAAAGAAGTCAAGAGACGAAGAAAAGAATGGGGAGCAATGAGTGAACAGGCATCAGGGCTTCAGTTATACTGGTGACATAAGTGAGGGGTATAACCATATATCCAAAACACAGACTCAACACTGAAAACATGAGATCCAAGTTGAAACCACAGGAACTTTATAATGGGCTTGTCAAGTGGACAGTAGGGCATGGGCTGGGGGTTGAGCGTGGAGAGGGAATTATGGGAACACTAATGGAGGGAAGCTGACGCTGGTGGTGGGACTGGTATTCAAATATTATATGCCTAAAACTCAACTATCAACAACTTTGTAAATCAGTTTTTTTTAAATTAAAAAAAATGGTAGTGAGAGAACCAGACTGCCAAATGAAAACCAAAGGGTGGGGGGTGAAAGCCCCAAACAATACCTCCTCCGAAATGAAATGAATTATTTAGCCACAGAAACAAAAATTACTGAGAAATGGATTGAGAGACTAGGGTTAGTACAGAGGTTGAAGCATACATCCTGCCTACTGGCTGGTGCTAGTTCCATACCCTGCACCATTCAGTTCCTTAAACACTTCTGGCTGTAGCCCTGGAGGTACCTAGCACTGCCAGAGTGGCCTGGGGTGATTCCTAATACCAGAGGGCCCCAGCAGTACTGTACGCTCAGTCTCTGGAAAGTTGACCAAGAATCACCGTGAGGGGATCTCAGATCTCCTCAGCACCACTTGGAGCTCCCTTGTCCTCAAAGGATTGATGTCTAATGGATTCGGTTACAAGTTCTGAAGCTATAAAAAAACAGAAGGTGATGTACTTTTGGATGTCAACCTCTGGCATTTGGAGGAGATTGGGAAGTCTGTCAGGAAGGCAGGTAGCAAGGTTGGAAACAGGTAGAGAAGAGGGCCTTTCTATACAGTGATCTGTCCTTAGATACATTATGGATTCCTACCTTTTCGTCGTTTCTGCTGATTGGTTACACCCTATAAGATGATTTGTTGGAAGTGGTACGGAAAGTATCATGTTAAGCGAAATGAGTCAGAAAGAGAGGGATAGACACATTCGTCTGGGGAACATAAAGTAACAAAATAGGAGACTAACACCCAAGAATGGCCGAGATTAGTACCAGGAATTTTGCTCCATGGCTTGGAGGCCAGCCACACGTGCTAGGGGAAAAGGGAGCTCAGATAGAGAAGGGAGCACCAAATAAAGGGTGTTGGGAGGATCCTTCCAGGATGGGAGAACCATGCGGAAAGTAGACTATAGACCAAACATGACTGCCACTCAATGCCTCTCTTGCAAACCACAAAACCCAAAAGGAGAGAGAACAAAAGGGAATGCCCTGCCACAGAGATAGGGTGGGATGGGGGGGGTGGGGGTGGGAGGGATACTGGGACCCGTGGTGGTGGAAAATGGGCACTGGTGGAGGGATGGGTACTTGATCATTGTATAACTGAAACCCAAGCACAAAAATTTGTAAGTCTATAACTGTACCTCATGGTGTTTCACTAATAAAAAAAAATTCTGAACAACAACAAAAAGATGATTTGTTGGAATAACCAATTGTGTTTCATATGCAAATGAGGACATGGGATGACTGTGGGACCACCAGGCTGCACATGCCCTTATATAGATATATAAAATGTCTGCTGACCTTATGCAAATAAGGTCCAGTGGATAATCAGTCATATCATGTATGTAAATTAGTGTATATGAACTTCAGAGAGCTGATCTATCTTCTCTTTCCAGTACCGCCCTACTCATTTCCTAAGTAACATCAATTGTAAGAATGAATTATTTTGAGAATGAATTTCTTGAGGTTGTTATCTTTTTTTTATATCCCAGGCATGCCAGAAGTGATCCCTGAAACAGGAGTAAACCCTGAACACCCACTGGTGTAGCCTCCAGGCTAAACCAAACAAAAAAAGGTTTAGATTAACAACTAAAAGAAAATCAGCTTGACCACAATATCACATAGTATTCTGGTATATGTGCTAATCAGTCATCAAATTGGTTCGTGTGTGTATAATGTACACATGTGTGATTATCATAATTTTAAGAAAAACAAAATGAATAATACTGATGCAGAAAATCATGAGCATGAGATTTTTCTTTTAGATAAAGTTAGGAGTCTATGTCTAATGTTTCCTTGGTAAACATTCTGGTGAAATAATTTATAACTTACTTTTTGTGTGATACAAGGTAGCAGTAGCTTCATTGTAGCTAGGTTTTAAAATTCATATATAAAAATCCATGTCACTACATCTTTTAAAAAATTACATAAGGCATGAGGCGTTTTTGTAATATAAGGTGCATGTACCACAGCAGCTGGCCTAACATTGGCAGATATTTTCTGATTTTAGCTATCAATTAAGCTAGATTTTGGGGCCAGAGATATAGTACGGTGCTTGCCAGGCATGCAGTTGACTCCAGTTCTATCCCTGTGATCACATAGGGTGCTTTGAGCACTGCTAGAAGTGATCTCTGAACAGAGCCAGTAGTAAGCCCTGAGCACTGGCACTGCTGCCAGGTATGATACCAAAACCAAAATGAACTAAACAAGACTAAGTTTTGGTTTACAAAAGCTTTATTCTGAAATGTACATGTAAATTTAACAAATATTTTTCACAAGCAAAATATATATTAAAGTACATTCTTCAACAATGTAAGATAAAGTGCCAAACTGTAACAGAATAACACAGGGAAAAACAAGGCTTTACGTCATCTTAAAAGGTGCAACAGAACCGCTTTTCTACTCTTATTCTTGCTAAAAAAGGGGCAAAGAATGCTTTCCATAGCACTGGAAAAAGTTTTCAAACTGATTTACCTTTACAAGTTAGTAATTAGATTCAGGTGATTTCTCATTAAAATAATTCAGGAGACCAAGCACTGTTCGTTTCAGGAACTGGAAGAAGCCACTTTTCTGAACATGGAAGATAACGGCTGACTTCTAAACAAGCATCATGCCCCAAAACTGACTCCCTGGAAATCCCGCCCGCCCTTGTTCTGATATGCGTCTTCTGTTTGGTAACCAGTGCTTTAGTTACAGTCTTTAAACTTAACTCCCTCTTAATTAAACACTTTTTAGTTCTTTGTTTGACATATTTTAGTTTCTTCATTGGTAACTCTTTTTGATTAGAATGACAGGAAGTAAGACATCTCTTACCCAAGACTTGGAATCCAAACATTTCTGAAGGAAATACTTTTTTTGTGGAAGGAGGAACACATTCATCAATGTCAGTTTCAAGACACCCAGTAATAGGGCAGTTGTTGGAAACCTCTGGTTGTGTAAGAGAACTTTCGGATTTCTGCTTGAGTGTTAAAATAGCTTCTGGACAGCTAGGGATGGCCTGCTGCATGTAATTTTGGGAGGAAATATTTGTTTTTCTATAGTTAGTATCAAGACCTGTAAAAAAATTAGGTAGTATTTTGGAAGTTCCTTTCATTCCTTGAATTCTTGTTCGGTGGAATCCTGCAAGTGGAGTAGACTGTGAACATGGAACAAAATCTTGACTATCTTCAAATTCATATTCTGAATCTGAATGAAAGTAAGGGGGAGAAAAGCATGTTCTTGAGTACAAAGAGGCAGACTTGTTTTCCAAGGATTTTTGTGAAGATTGACTGAAATTTTCAGAAAGTGGTTTCGGTGAAAATTCAGATTCCATATGAGGACTCTCTGACAAAGAAGTTCCCCACTGCAATAAAGTATCCTGTGATTGTTTTGTGATTTCTGTTGCCATGTCTATTTCTTTGTTATTATCATCAAAGAGGTCAGCAGAAGCATTGTAGCTACCTTCATGACCAGAACAGTTCTGTGTTAAGTTAGTGCTGATATGTTCACAAGGCATTTCCTTCAAGGTATTTGTACACCTATTCGAACTACTGCAAAGATCTTCTAAAGGATACGTAAGTTTTCTGCAAATTGTAAAATTATTACCTTGATTCTTTAGCCTCTTTAAGTCGCAAAGGTCAGAAACATCACTATATCTCTTAGAGTGAAAAGTTGCCAAGTTCTCACTCATTTCTAAATGTGATATTTCTCCAGGTTCATTAAAGTATCGAATATTGAGAGAAGTGTGGTCATTCTCTGAAGTACTGTGCATATGTGAAATTTCAGGTCTATGTGGTGGAATTTTGATATATTTAGGAGTATTTCTTGTCCTTAAATCTTCTGAAGATGAAAACGCAGCTGACAGATAAGGATTTGGTAAAAAACAGTTGGATATATCTCTTCTAATACTACTTTTAGAGACAATCTCAGCTGTGTTATCTCGTGGTGAGTCCATTTGTATACTAGGACTTGGATTTGCTTCACAGTAAGAAAGGTTGTTGTCTTTGCTAGAACTTGCTTTGACTGTTGCTTGCGACAACCTTAAAGAGACAGGTGGTGTACGCAAGGCTCTTGTGTTTTTGGGAGTCACAGATGATCTGCTATAGTGTGCATGTAATTTATCAGTGTCACTGTCTAGGTTACAATTCCCACTTTTGGCATCAGGTTGAGAAGTGGCAATCTCACTTTCAACAGCTGCCAGAAACTTGTTTAGGCTTTCAGAGAACGGCAGTTCATCCCAAATTTCAGAGTCACAGTTCTGGGAACCATGAGCTTTCTCTTCTAGTCTGAACGATGAAGGTGTACAACAGCTAGATCTCCCCTGAAAACTAAGGTGGATATCTACATCATGATGCTGGTGAGCTGTTCGCTCAAGTGGGGAATATCTAATTTTAATATCGCGTGCATCGTGGAAGGATTTTGTGTTTCTTGTCTCTGGGCACTCTTGTATTTTCAAAGGAAACAACTGAGAATTATTAACTTCAATTTCATGACAGCTTTGAACTGCACTTGGCTGAACAGACTGTAAGTCCAGTGCTTCGTCCAACTTTTGTGTTAAACCCTTCTTATCCATATATGAAATAAAGCTCCAAGAGCCCTGAATGGCACTAGAGTAGCTATCGGAATTAGTGACCTTTGCCAAGGAGGGACACATTTTGTGCTTGTGATGAGTTCCAATAGCCTTGCATGGTTCAGAAGCCAGAAAACCTTCCTTTTCTTCTTCTTCTTCATCATCATCATCATTATCTGCAGGTTGTGAATTAACGGAAATGAGTTCCAGTGAGAGCTGCCAGGATCTTGAAAATACCTTTCTACTATGGTACCCAGAAAGACAAGAACTTTTGTCAGAGCCATCTATGTTGCTGAGATCACTATCTGAGTGTTCTAAAGCAAGGAGGTAGCTATTACATGCCTGAGAATCACAACGATGCTTTTTGAAATCCAAAAGTTGACAAAAGTAGTCAAAGACAGTGAAACCTTGAACTCCTGGGTCTGGAAGAAGAATCTGGCAAGCTACAAGCTCTCTAACTTCTTTATTTTGGTCAAAGAACTGCTTTCTGAAGTTACTGGCGTCTGAACTGTGCCCATAATGGTTTTTAAAATTCTGTAAAAGAAGTTAAAATAGATTTAATGGATAATTTTCTTAGCCTCTGACTGAAATGTGAAACAGAGAGAGGAAAAAAGAAAACATGTAAAATTATAGTCCAATTCTCATTACTTCAATTCCTGCAGTAGCAAACTTTTGTAGTAGCACAAATTCCTATAGTGGCAATAGTACGAGATATAATCCGTAGAATAGACACTTGTCCTCAAGTTCTGGTTCCAATAGCATTTACTAGTGTTGGGACTTTAGAAAATTTCTAAGTTATAGTTTTCTTATTTTAAAAATAAAGATAAAATTGAAAGATTATTGCATTAGTACTAAAATTTGGAAAACAGCAATATTAGCAAATACCTACTGCTGAATAAATGGCAGCTATCATATTTCTCATCCCCCCTCCCTCCACCATAAGTTTTAAGGGAATGAATTTAAGGGCATGTCTAAATAAAGAAAACAGTCAAATATTTTAATAAAGCAAAAGTCTATGGCTTCTGATTTCACCTTCCCTTTGAGTTTTTTCTCTTGTAGAGAGCTATATTCCCCCTTTGAAAATCCTCTTTCTAGTACATATCAGGTCTGTTTAGATAGATAAGAGTTTCTATACACTCTCTTCAGTGTTACTGAGACAAATGCTTCAGAGGCACTGCATTAAAGACTCCTGTGACTGGCAAGTCACTTTTCTGATTAAGACTGTCCTTCCTGTTCTTAGAGTTCTAATCACTACATGGCCTTAAAGGGTAGCTCTTTCACTCTTTTTTTTATAGAGGATAAAAACTGAAGATCTAGAGGGCTTTGTGGTTATTACCGTAGTTTGTTTTTGGGCCATACCCAGCTGTGTTCAGGGCTTACTCTGGGCTCTGCACTCAGGGTTCATTCCTGGTGAACTCAGGTGCTGGGGACTGAACCTGGCTCAGGTGTGTACAAGGTAAGGACCTTACCCAATGTACTGTCGCTCCAGACCCTGAAAACCGACCTGATAGATAGTTTACAATACAATCTAAACAAAGTTTGGAGAGTAACATAAAACAGCAAATATCAAAACCTAGTACTTCTGAATTATGATCAACTTAGATTTTCTAAGTTTTGAAAGCATTTGCACTAGGCTGTTCTGGCATTTAAGAGGAAGTTGTCACACACAGTGTGACAACAGATCACCTAAAACCAATGTTTACAGTTTAAAGTGCTTATGCGGTACACAGTTATGACTTCTAAATAACCTATTTAGAAATTCAAATATAAGCATTGTATCAAATTACTATGGCAGTGCTAACAGAATTCTAAAGAGAAAACTAATCTCAATTACCGTCACTCCAAAAATAAAACTTCGTCCAACGAAGGATGCTTCAACTGCTTTAGTCAGCAGGTTCTGAACTGCAGTACTGTTCAGAGTTTCTGGAATTCCATCAGAGTCCTGTAGGTAACTTGATTAAAAAGAAAAACATGAACAGATAAATTACGAAATTTTAACTTGCAGTAAAAGTTAAAGCTACAGTAAATCTGAAAATGTAGCCAGAACCTTTTGAGTGGCACAAAGAGAAAAAAAAAAAAAAGCGTAGGAACTAGCATTTTGTGCACTCGGGTTTTCCACCACTGAGGAAAACAAAAATAAGTGTTAAGTGTGAAAAGGTGGATTTCTAATGGGCGAATATTCCCTCAAATGGCTTCTTACAGGGAAAAGAAAGAAAAAAAACAACTGCCTGTCATAGAGGCAGGCTGAGGAGTGAGAAGGAAACTAAGGACACTGGTGGAGTAAAGAGGACATTAGTGAAGAAACTGGTGTTGAAACATTGTCAAGCTGAAACCATGAATAATTTTACTACTTTGTAATTCATAGTGATCCAATAAAAACTGACAACAAAACAAAACATGCAACTTCAAATTCTACTGATACGCCAGGGCAATAGTTAGGAGAAAGAATGCTTTAAATATTCTTACCTATGCAAACCAGTAGCTGTAAGACCAAAAAATGTGTCTAAGCAGCTTCCAAATACAGTAATGGCAAATAATCTGTTTGATTCTGCAACTTTTAAGGGAAGTTTATATCTATACCTGACATTTTCAATTTCACCAGTAGAGCCACATTTTAGACAATTAGACCTGAAAAAAAAAAGGGAAAAAGTTATAAAAATGTCGACTATTTTTTCATATAGTGTGCAAGTATTTGTGTGCAAGTATTTTCATAAACATATCCTAAAACTATTTTGGACCAACATCTTGAATTTTTTTATCCAAAACGCGGCCTTTACTGATTTAAATTAAATAACATATTCATGACATTATGATTGGAGTTTAAATTCTGCACCGTGGGAGAAAATGAAGGCAAATGCCTGTAATTCTGTGGGGTAGGAAGGTCACCATTAACACCTGGAGGTATAAAACAGACTAGGGCTAGGGGCCAGTAAATACGAAAAGGTTAGCACCATACCATCAGAAGTTCTGGAATTTAATGTCTATGCAGTGTTCTCAACAATATAACTTTAACTATGGCCAAAAGCTTTTTGTTAAAAGCTACAAGTCAAGTATAACTCCACTGTCCTGTAGCTGTCAGGTCTTGGGATAGTTACTAGAACCCTTAAATCTCTGTTAATTAAAATTCAATGAGGATAAAAGTAAACAAAAGTGATCTAGTACCAGATCCTGCCAAATCCATTTCCTTCATAATTGCACATCTAATTGCAGTCATTGCGACTTATCATTTTCTTCCTTTCCAGCTGTTTGTAATGTGTCCTAATTCTAATATCCATCTTTTATGTTCCTAATTTAGCAGGCTGGCCACTTAAAATGTTGGCTTATCCCAAGACTTTTTTTCCTTCGTATTGCTAAAGATCAAGCTTAAGGAGTGGCAAAAAGCAAACAGAGATGGTCATAGTTGGGGCCAGAGAGACCGCAGAGTGAGTAAGGAGCTGATTTTGAAGGCATGAGTTCAAACACTGGCATCCCATTTGGTTCACTGAGACCTGCCAGAAGCGATATCTGAGCACAGAGCCAGGAGTAAGCCCTGAGCATCGCTGGGTGTGGCCTCCTAACCAAACCAAACAAAAATAACCCTCCAAACCAAACCAAAAAGCAGCGGCCATAAAAGTTGTACATTTGGTTGCTGCTGTAGAGCCACTAGGGGGAGCCTGAAATCCACGCTCCCAAGAAGCTTGGGCAATGGTTAGTCCTACATACTAAAAATTCAGGACATGAGGAAATGGGGCTACACCCCCTTCTCATGGACAGGGAGTATTAACACTGTCAAAATGGCAATTCTTCCCAGAGCATTATACAGATTCAATATAAGGATACATATGGCATTTTTCAAAGAAACAGATAAACACTCCTGAAATTCATATGAACAATAACCGCTCCCCCCCCCCCCCACACACACACACACCTGCCTCACCCCTATGGATAGCTATAACATATAACAATCCTTGGGAAAAATAAGATGGGGCATCATTTTCCCCAGCTTCAAATTGTACTAAAAAGTGGTAGTAATTAAAACAGCATGGCATTGGAATAAAGGCAGACCCACAGATCAATGGAAAAGAGTTTAATATCCTGACATCGATCCCTAAATATATAATCAGTCAATCTTTGATAAAGGAGCAAGAAAAGCCTCTTCAACAAGTAGTTCTGGAAAAACTGGGAAGCTACAGGCAAAAATAAGAACTAAGACCTCTTTCTAACACAAAGCACAAAAGTCAGAGGGAGACGGGGAGGGAAGAAGAGAGAGAGAGAGAGAGAGAGAGAGAGAGAGGGAGAGAGAGGGAGAGAGAGAGAGAATGAATAGTGCCTGCCACAGAGGAAGAGGGTGGGAAGGAACCTGGGGACACTGGTCCTGGGAAATGTGCACTGGTAAAGGGACAGGTATTGGAACATTATGACTGAAACCCAATCATGAACAACTTTGTAACTGTACGTATCACTGTGATTCAATAAAATAATAAAAAAAACTAAACAACTCCCATACCACTTTCAAGTATATCCCAGAAATGGGCTGTTATTTTTGGAGGAATATGGTTTCTGGGCCACACCTGATGATATATAAGAACTCTGTAATCAGGGTTGCTCCTGGCAGTGATCAGGGAATTATATGTAGTGCTTTGGCTTGAAACAGGGTGGGCCATAGGCAAAGCAACCATCTTGATCCTTGTATTATGTCTTTGGTCCCTAGGATTTTTTTTTTTTTAAATCTTTTTACTTTTGGGCTACATCCTGCTGCGATCAGGGGCTATTCCTGGTTCCGCACTAAGGGATCACTCCTGGCAGCCTCAGGGATCCAAAGCAATTTGGTAATGTGCAAGGCCTGCCCACTATACTATCTCTCTGGCCCCTAAGTTCTATAAGTTCTCTTCAAAGCACTGTTAATTTGGAAATGTCGCTCAAGTAATTAGTCAATTCTGTTATAATATCTCTAGCACCACAAAATTTTTAAAAAAAGAAAAGGAGTTACAAAAATAAAATCAATGAGAGATATAACTTAGTATGGGAAATTTAGTCCTACCTAACTTGTCTTTGAATTTTAGAAAATCTATAGTGTATAGTGCTTAGTGGATTCTCTAATGTATATATGTTTTACTTTTACCTGTTGGAGACTAGGATTATCCGAGAGAGGCATTTCTGACATGAAGGATATATAAAACTTGAATTTTGGAGAGCAAGAACTGAGGCAAGAATAAACTTTCTTCTTCTGCTCATGTGTTCACACTGCGGCCTATAAAACAAAACAGTCAATGGGATAAATGGTAAATCTTTAATTGCACATATATAACCGATTTCTTAAGAAAACTATCTCCTTTATAAAGTTAAGGGATGCCTGTTTGTTATAGTGACAGTGTATTAAGAAACCTGAAATTTTGGTCATAGGAAAAAGTCAGCAAAAAATGAAATTTGCTGTTTCATGATGGATGTGCAGAGTATCATGCTGAGTGAAATGAATCGGGAGAGGGAGACACAAAACTATCTCACTCATATGTGTGATATAAAGAAACAGTAGGGGGACAACTAAAACCCGAAGGCAATAGAAATGAGCAAGAAAACTGGTCCTTAGTAGGAAGCTTGCCACTGGGGGGAGGGGAAGTGGGAGAGGTTATGGAAGGACAGCTATGACAATGATAAAGAGAAGTGGTCACTCTGGACAAAGACCAGGAACTGAAAGGAGGTAAAGTGACATGCAGAATGAAAGATGTATCTATGTCACTGATCCATTCTTAAAGTGAGCACAGAAGAAAAACAACTGATCATGCCTAACTATTAATTGTTCTGGGACTCTTATGTATACATAACCAGTAGAGCTGCACCCAAAGCAAGTACATATATATTTTATTTATTATTTACTTCATTGAATCACCGTGAGATACACTTCAAAGCTTTCATTTTTGGTTTCAGTCATACAATGATTGAACACCCATCCCTCCACCAGTGCACATTCTCCACCACCAATGTCCCCAGTATCCCCCCACATCCCACCCCTCCCTATGTCTCTATGGCAGACAATTTCCCTCATACGCTCTACTTTTGGGCACTATGGTTTGCAATAGAGATACTGAGTGACTACCATGTTTGGTCCTTTATCTACTTTCAGCACACATCTTACATCCCGAGCGATCCCTTGAACCATCATTTACTTGATGATCCCTGCTCTATTCCAGCTGCAAAGCAAGTACATATTATTTAATTTGATTGTCATCTTAACCCACATGGCAATGTCTAAAGACAAGAAAGGGTATGTGACTGAGTACACAAGGGGAAGAAGGCAGAAAGGAAAAAGAAAACCATTACTAGTGCTAACTTCAAGCTCTTTGCTAATGCAGTGACTGATGGAATGTATGTCAGCAAAGGTATCTGTGAAATGCAGTTTGATGTAGGGTATAATATGGCAGTGTACAAAAACATCTGTGAGCTAAGGAAGAGAAAACAGGCCAAGTTAGGTCCTGAGAATGCTGCTCTGGTCGTCTTAAAAACCTTAACAGAATTCAGCTTCCATTCCATACAATGTCTTGGGTCATCTGGTTCCACCTTTCTGAACGCATTTTATACTGCTCTCCTGTCCTTCAACGCATCCTAGTCTTCTTTCCACCTCAGACATACCCACTGATTTCTACTGAGGCTTTTATGTTCACTTGTCCCTTTATCTAAATCTTTATCTCTTTATCTTTATTCTTCAGACAGCTGGTTCATCCTCACCTGCTCTATCTCAAGTTGACATTTCCTCCCGTTATTTATTTATTCTAGGCTTTTGGGCCACACCCAGCCATGCTCAGGAGATACTGCTGGCTCTGCACTCAAGAAATCATGCCTGACAGGGGCAGGGGACCATATCGGATGCTAGGGATTGAACCCAGATCTGCTGCACGCAGGGCAAACACCCACCTGCTGGAGTATTTCTCTGGGCCCCTTCCCGTCTTTTTAGTTTCTAGGAAATCACCCATTTTATTCCAGCATGGTACTGAATAAGCTTGTGAGATATATATATATATATATATATATATATACATATATATACACATATATATGTCATTTTACATATTCATTTGCTTATTTTTTTGTTTATTCTATTCTATTCCTACTAGTCTAGCATTTTTATAAAAAGACTGGTCAATCTTAAGTTATACTATGTCTTCCAGTGCTTAGAACACATTAAAGTTCTCAATAAATATTCATTAAAAAACTGCCAAATCCTCTAATTGAAGAACAAGTTTATAAGAGTAGTTATTTACCATATAAGTGGAATTTTTCCTTTTTGATTTAATGCACTTCCCTGCTCCCAAAGCAATTCTTTACTAAAAGGGGATGTTTTTTGTTAATATAGGCTGATCTACAGCCTATATTATTATACTTCTACAGTCTCACCAGTTGTCTTTGTTGATTTTCTTTTCTATTTGGTTTTTGGACCACACCTGGCAATGCTCAAGGCTTACTCCTGGCTTTGCACCCAGGGATCATTCCTAATAAGGCTTGGGGGATCATCTGGTTTGCTAGAAATTGAACCTCAGTCCGCTGCTTGCAAGGTAAGCACCCTACTCACTGCACTCTCTCTCCAGCTCTTGTCCGTCTTATTTTGCTGGTTTTTATTCTCCCCAATGTTCTTTCTCTCAGTTCTCTTCCTTGCTTTTTATATGCCTGCGATTTATGCTAATGGGAACATAATAATAATACTGAGTTGTGTGTTCTCTCCCCTCCCCCAAAGGCCCCCATCACAAGTTTCCTACTCTTCCATGTCTAGAATGTATGTTCACCTCAAGGCCGTTGTTTATTTTTCCTTAAGGCACTTTTGGGGAGAGGGGCTGAGGATGATGAAAAAGGGAAGTAATCAGGTACACCAGCAATGTGGGGGAGTGGGATAAACATGGATCCAAACCACAGAGTTAACAATGAAAACATGCTAATCAAACTGTCACACTGTCTTCCCGTTGTTCATCGATTTGCTCGAGCTGGCCCAGTAACATCTCCATTTTGAGACTCCTTGTTACTGTGTTTGGCATATTGAATACGTCACGGGGAGCTTGCCAGGCTGTGCCGTGTGGGTGAGATACTCTGGGTAGCTTGTCAGGCTCTCCGAGACGGGCGGAGGAATCGAACCCAGCTTGGCCGGGCTAGCTGTGTGCAAGGCAAACGCCCTACCGCTGTGCTATCGCCCCAGCCCAAATCAAACTACAAACAGCAAAAAAAAGTGTCAAAAAAGGTGGCAGGCTTTTGGGGGATGGGGTGGGGAATGTGGATTGGAGAGAACTTGAGAACACTGGTGACGGAAGTTGACAATGTGGTGGGAATGCTGCTAAAACATTACATATCTAAAGCTCAGCTATTAATAACTTTGTTAACCATAATTAAGTTAAAAAAGTCATTTCAAAAAGATAATTCACTAGGAAACAACCCAGATTAGGTGACCCTACTTATTATCACTGTCTATATTGCAAAATCAAGGCTTACTCCTTTAATTTATTAAATTATTTTTTTTTTTTGCTTTTTGGGTCACACCTGGTATTTCTCAGGTATTTCTCTTACTTCTGGCTCTGCACTCAGAAACCACTCCTGCAGTCCTTGGGGGACCATATGAGATACTGGGGATTGAACCCTGGTCAGCCACGTGCAAGGCAAATGCTCACCCTGCTATTACTATCGCTCCCGCCCTGAGCATACAGTATTAATCCGTTTGACATACCCATATGTTTTGAGGAACCATGGTAAGATCCTAGGAGAGCCTGGTTATAATCCCAGTGTCACTTTTAAAAATTTGTCAATCTGACTCCTGCTATTAACTTTGTGTATCCTAAACTAGCTTTGCCCACATACCATCAAATATACATACTTTTACCAAATTATAAAATACTGTTGTGAATACCCGACAGTGGACATTACATAGCACCTTATTGAACTTTTAATTATTTGCAGCTTATCCTCAACTCTTTTCTCCTTCATATGGTCATACTGTGAGCAGTCTTTGGGCTCTAAACGGACAGTTTTATATCCTACAATTATATGGTCATCCATCAAGTGCTATTCTTTACACAACTGTTATTAGATCAAAGTTTTCAGGAATGAATTAAACCATTGGCATTTAGGATACCATGCTATGTATTGTGGGGAAACAAAAATAAGACATTTTCTGTCCTAAGAAACATTTACTGCCGAGGGGCCCTGGTGATAACTCAGTTGCAGACCACCGCAGCCTGGATCTGTGTATTAGACGCCTGGCACTGCTCCATACGCTGAGCTCCATCCCAGCACTGCCGACTGTGATCCCTGATGCCAGAAGAAGTGTGTAGCTCCTGACATATTGCCAGAGTGAGCAAGCATTGTGATGGAGTATGTATGCTCTGGCTAGCACTATATCCAAAGTGAGCAGTACAGCCAAATATGACATCATTCGCCACTGCAGCACCAACCAACAAGAGGAGGAAACGTTTAGTGTTGAACTGGGCAGACAACTCACCAACAAATGAAAAGCTTACATAAACAAAGACATATAGAAATTATCTTCTAAATTATTTGTGCAAGCATTTGTGCTTTTAATTAAAATTACTTTTTAAATTATAATTACTTTTTAAATTATGATTTTGGTAACATGAACACAATAATGGCAATGCTTATGTTATTGGTGTACAAAGTTACTACACACCACTACCACAAAAATGCTGAAGACCCTTCACTCCTCTTCCTATGCCACTACTTTATTCCCTCCACACCTTTCCCCTCACTTTGTTAATCTCAGTTTTGAAATATACAAGGCTGAAAGGTCTGTCCTCATTCCACACTGTCTATTCCCTTGTTTTGTCTAACTACAATATTTTCTGTTGGTTAAGTCGTCTTTATTTTAGGGTTTATTGCCCTCTAATGGATCAAATAAGTATGCCTGGAAAACCACAAGATGGCAAACTTCAGAATTAAAACAAAAAATGTTAATAAATTTTTATTTACGTTTTTAACCTGGTAAAGCCAAGCAAATGGTAAAAACCCATACCATTCATTGCCTGGGAGGGATATAAAGTTTTTCATATCCTTTTAATAAAAGACTATCAAGTGGTGCTGGCAAAACTGGACAGCTACATGAAAAAAACTGGCTTAGAACTCTAACAACATGTACAAAAGCCAGATCAAAATGGATTAAAGACCTCAACATCAGACCAGAATCCATAAGGTAAAATGAAGAAAAAGATCAGCAAAACCTTCTACGATATTGAAGCTAACGGTATCTTCAAAGATGAAACACCA